GGTCAATCACAGCCTTTCCCCAGGATCATTCACATGAGTAAGGCCCTTCGCCTGTCTGGTCATATGAGCTGGACAACTGTGATTCTTGGACTGCTAGTGGCTATATTCCTACCTTGTAGAGAAGGTCTATCCTCAATGGAAAAAATATAGATGTAAAAATACAAGTAGATGTGAGTGATGGACCGAGAGAATCTGACTACATCAAGACCCAGATTTTCCCTCAGTTCATACAGCTCCTCTTCCATTCCATGAGCTATCCCAGGATCTTTCTAATAAATTATCTCATCGCTTCTTTTTTTTTTTTCTTTAGCTAGTCGGAGCTGGCTTTCTGTCATCTGAAACCCAAAGATTTTTTACTAATACCGCTGCAAAAGGTAAGAAGCTTTAGCTGGAACTTCAGTGGCTGTCTCCCTGGCATGAAGGAATGAGAAAAGCCAGTTGCCTAGACCATAGCAGCAACGTTGAGAGGCTGTGGGGGAGGGTGGATGGTAGGATGCCCATTATAAATGAATTCCATTCAGTTAAACAAAGGGCTTTTATAAGAACAGTGCTAAACAGAAGTTGGCATATATATCACTCTGGCTTTGCTTTACTGGAGACAGAACATCTCAGGAAAAAACAAAATGAGCCAGGAAGAATACATTAGTGCTAGGCTGCTGCACAAGACATGTAAACAAAATATAAGAAAACATCTGAGGGGTCGGCCCCGTGGCTTAGCAGTTAAGTGCGCGCGCTCCGCTGCTGGCGGCCGGGGTTGCGATCCCGGGCACGCACCGGCGCACCGTTTGTCCGGCCATGCTGAGGCGGCGTCCCACATACAGCAACTAGAAGGATGTGCAGCTATGACATACAGCTATCTACTGGGGCTTTGGGGAGGAAAATGGGGGGAAAAAAAAGGAGGATTGGCAATAGATGTGAGCTCAGAGCCGGTCTTCTTCAGCAAAAAAAAAAAGAGGAGGATGGGCATGCGTGTTAGCTCAGGGCTGATCTTCCTCACAAAAAAAAAGAAGAAAACATCTGAGAGCAAAGATTGTTTAAAAAAAAAGTGTTAAAAAAAAAAGAAGTTTTAATATGAGACTATGGAATCTTCTCTGCTTGTTTTTTAGAGACAGTGAGAGCGAGAATGAGATAGAGAGAGAGACTGATTCATCTTTTTACAGCCAAAGGCCAGGGAATGAACTATTCAGATCCTTTGGTTGCACAGTTCAATGACATAATCTTTGCTTGTTAATGAGAAACTGGCTTCACTATAATTCTGTAGCGTCGGAGTGTGACCTGACTTCAGAAAGTATTTGTATCTCAGTGCTGCTAAAAAGCACACTTTAAAATAGCTTTAAATCAAGGGAGGCATGTGCCTCATTCCCATTTGGTCCCAAGCAGGAAAAACATGAGGTTTTCGCCACGTGGTTCCCACAGAACTCTGCTCTCAAAACATAATATGGCAAAGTCTAAAGTTGCAAAACATACACTTCCAAATAAAAACACATACACTTCTAAATAAAGAACTCCTAATGTGCTTAATTTGATTTGTCAAAAGAGAATTTATACAGCTTTTTAAGAATACATCTCTTCAACAATGTGAGGCACACCTCTATCCAATACCTTGAGTCCTGGAAAGTTAGCATCAGAGGCGTACCCTTGGGTGTGTGCCACTAGATGGTGCGTCAGGCTAACTCGCTCCCCTTCTCTGAGTGACACGTCCTGCCATATTTGGTGAGTCATCTCAGGCCACTTGATAAGCATTCAGGAAAAGCTTAAAACCAATTCAGCAGAAAATATAACTTTCACCTAAATGGTGTGATGAGTATTATTAGGATGTCTCTGCCAAGATTTTTTAGAACCTGAAATCAGCCTTTTTTATTTCTTGAATTGAATGTATATAAAAATATGACTTTTACATTGAACAAATGGGAATCAGTAGGGTGCAAACATAAAATAATTCATTTTTACCCATAATTGCATAATTCTAATCCATCCTGTGGGTCTACTTTTAGAGAGAAATGCGTGTATCTTCTAAATTTTTCCCACTTAGCACTTCCGTTCCTTCTTCACTCAATCACTCATTCCTCTTGGACCCTCCAGAGTTGCTGTGTGTATGCGGAGTTATTATGGAGAGGAGGACAGGTAAGGAGCAAGAAACGTCTTTCTTGACTGGCACCAATGTAATATGGCATTCTACCAAACCTGAGTTCATAATCAAAAACTATAAAACATATAAGGAAACAAGAAACCAGGAGTGAGAGTAGAATTAACAAACTTCAAAATTAGACCCACGAAGACTGCAGATATTGGAATTACTGGGTATAAAATATAAAATTAGTACATTTAATATATTCAAAGAAATAAGAGGGAATTTTTACAAGAGTAAGGAGCAAGACACTATCAACAATGACCATGCAGATTTGAAAAAGAACTAAATTGAACTTTTAGAAATGAAAAAATATTAATTAAAATTCAAAGGAAGGAGATTAGAGCCAACTGAAGAGAAAAGTAGTGAACTGAAAGATAAACTTGAAGAAATTACCCAAAACACAGCACAGAAAGACAAAGAGATGAAAAACACAAAAGATAGATTAGGCAATATGTAAGAAAGAATGAAAAGGTCTAACATACATTTAATTGGAATTCTCAAAAGAGAGTTTAAAGAGGAGAAGAAATATTTGATATGTTAATAGTTGAGAGTTTTCCACCACTGATGGGAAATCCAATCCACAGATTCAGGAAGCACAACAAATCCCAACCTGAATAAGTTAAAAGAAATGCACACCTGGTCACATGTTAATTAAACCAAAGAACACTAGAGACAAAAAGAAAATCTTAAAAACAGCCAGAGAGACAAGACAGATTACTTACAAAGGAAGGATAATTAGATAATTAAAATTAACTTCTCAAAGGCAACAATAAAAGCCAGAAGGGAGTGGAGTAATATCTTCAGTATGCTAAGAGAAAACAACTCTTAATCTAAAATTGTACACTCAGTGAAAAGATCCTTCAAGAACAAGAATGAGGTAAAGACTTTGTTTTAGGGAAACCAAAACTGATAGAGTATCCTCCCAAAGACCATCACTGAAGAAAACTTCCTTTAGAAAGAAGGGAAAAGATTTCAAAAAAGATCTGAAATGCAGGAAGAAAAGATGTGTAGAAAAAACAAGTAGGTGATCCTAAACAAACACTTTATAAATCAAACGCAATATTTTATAAAGCTGAAAAAGCAAGATGAAATTAAAACAATGGACAAAATAGAAAGTTCAGAGGACCTCAGTCATCAGAGTTAAACTGTTTTAGAGTCGATCTTTAAGCTGAGACGACATGTGAACATTTTTAGGTTAACTACTAAAAGAAGAGAACTGAGTCCAGACGCTTCAAGCAAGGACAGATTTTTCCATTCAACCAGGATCCTAAAATCTGGAACTCCCTTGAGAGGGCCTGGCCAATAGGAGAAGATTAATTGTTCCCTGAGGTATTTATCACTTCTTTTGCTAACAAAGGATTTAAGTTGCCTTCTCTTAATTATGACGCCATGGAGTTTTTCAAATCTCTTCGGAACTTAAAATGTCCTCCCACGAATAGCTTCCTTCCTCCCTTCCCCAAGTGCCATTTCTAGCAGCAAATGCTTGTGCCCTTCTTGAAAATGAGCTGGATACCACATCGTCCAACCCTCTTTCCTACTCATCTCCTCTCGAATGTTAGGAAGTCTGTGGAGAGCAGCAAGAGTGGCAATAGAATTCATCCAGGCCATAGCTTATGAAAATCTGTAAAACATACATTAAGATCTGTCAGTACTTGCCTGCCCTATAGTCCCACAGTATTTATTCCTCTATTACAATATGTAAAACAATTGGAGGCAATTATGTATTGTATTTTTTTCTGCTGACGTCATTTAGGGTCAGATCATGATTAAACATAGCTGTGTTAATTAAGAGTTCTTGACAGCAAATGTAGGTGAAAATGTTTTATTTAGTTTAAAACATTACAACCAAATTCACTTTGTATGTTTGACACTGAAAAAAATCATGGGCAACAGTGATACAAACATTTCAGTTTTGATGCCACAGACAAGGCACAAAAACAACTGGGCAGGTGACTGTCAGGAAGCAGATTTCTGACCCCTCTTTGTCCCATTGTTCCTTCTATTCCCTTCTTCATTTCCACAAGGAAGATTCTCACAGGGAATTGTGTCTAATACCTTTGCTAATAAAGTGGCTTTTCCTTAAAGCCAAGATAAGAGAGAAGCTGTGTTTCTTTTAGCCTTCCCAGAAGAAATGCGTCAGAACACATCGACCTGTGTCTAGCCCCACCAAGAAACTTTTAGAAAACTTTGAAATAAACTGCTGCATCATCTCCCTCTATATCTGGCCCCTCAAGTTCTACCTAAAATCCCAAAATGCAGTGAAGATGCCAGATAGTTCACTTCTGAGCAGGTCACCCCAAACCTTGGAATTCTGAGTCCAGATGAATTTGCAGTGTGGCTCAGAAATTCCTCTTCAGGAAGGATTCTAACATCAGAAGCACATTTTTATCAAAGCCTTCTCCCCTCACAGCACGGCTCATGAAAGTTCAACTCTCCTTGAGCACAGCTGATGCCCTCCTGGAGCTGCATTTGAGGACAGGTGCTTGGTTGGATGGAGCAGCTACAGTGTCTGTCTTCACAGCCTCACTGCACCCATGACATATGAGTGAGCTTCGAGGCCAGGACTCTTCTCATCAGACGTTTGGCTGTGAGGAGAATCAGCCAGATTCCAATCCCTCAGGTATTGTAGGGATTGGAAAGAACCCTAGACAGACAGTCAGAAGGCCTGGCTCTATAATCTTCAAAGTCATTTGACTATAGGCAAATCTTTTCAACCTCAGTTTTACATTCTGTTTGATGGGGCCACAACATCCACTCTGCCTCTATCACAGGGGTTGTTGTGAGGATCAAATGAGATCATGCATGTGAAAGTGGTCTGTAAACAGTAATACACCATAAAATAATACAAGTATGAGCAGTATTGACCTTCGCATCACCCTCGGGCAGTGCTGAAGCTCAGGCTGCTGCTTAAAGCTGCTCCACGTTACCCTCACTCCACTCAGATGTTAAAGCCCCGTGCTTCGAGCTTCACTGACCAGCTGCCCAGGCGACTAGGATGTAGGATCCCGGCAGAAAAAAAACTAGGCACTTTTTTCTGCTAGGACTTTAAGACCCTGGGCCCCTATTTTGGTGAATTTGGATCTCTACATCCTATAAACCAGTTTCAAACTCCTGTAAGATTCTGGCAGCATTTAAATCTGACGTTGGAAGAATACATAATGTAGACTTTATTATTCTTGCCCACCCCACTTTGGGTCTTGAGGTGGAAGTGGCTGTTGACCAGCCAAACTGATAATTTGAATGCTTCAAAAAGTGATTTATTTTTGCCATTTCCCCAACCGTCTCTTTTCTTTCTATTCATGATCTAAGTTTTGCTCAGAATGGCATCAAGGGAATGAGAAAATTACCTGTAATTCTTGTTGTCAGATCTGAGATTGTCACAACAGATCACTAATCCAGGATTGGAAACATCTAGAACAGGCTCCTGGGGAGTGCTCCTAGCTCTCCTTTCTCACACAGTTCTCCTGCCCCTGGGCCCTGGTGAGCCAGTCACCACCATCACAGCCAGACTGCTGGGTGCTTCATCCCTGCCAGCCCCAAGGGAGTAAGAGGAACCTCACCAGGACATTTGAAGAAAAAATTTCAAAGCCCAAGGAAGCCTCAGGACCAATTGTTTGGGGTACACCATGGGTATGACCTAGTACAGCATTTCCCAAATGCATCTGATCACAGGAATCTCCTGAAATACATGTCAAAAGTACAAATCCTAGCTCCACACCCACCCAATCCATCCCCAAGGCAGGGCCCAACAATACATTTTTCACAGCAATCAAGTAATTCACACAGTTAGGCAATTTGGGGAAACATCAATCCAGCAGAAAAGATGTGTAGGCTTGGAGTAATGACCTAATTAGGTCTGTGACTTCACTAATGGCAGCGATAGTTCATTTCTCCATCTATAAAGGAGATGGGGGGAGTGGATTACAACAATATCTGTGACTGCAGTCTCTCTCCAAGGCTGCCTAAGGTCTAATCAGATTACCTGTATGAAGTCTTTCAGACCATTTAGAAATATTTACAGATGTGGCTTGGTGTTTTTAGCAAAGAGTGCCTTGGGCCAGAGTGGCAGCCGCTTCCCACCCCTGGTTTGCACGGTCCTGTGCCAGGTGCAGAGTGAGGCTCACGAGAAGGGAGATGAGGGGCCATCATCTCCGCCAGACTTTTCCTGTGTTAGTGAGGAGGGCAGCCACACTTACGGCTGCAGAACTGAGCCCCTGGAGGGGCTGACGCAGAGCTCTCCTGGGAGCACACTGGGGCGGAACAGCTGACACAAACCACCAGGTCCATGGCAAGTGTCCCCAGCTTCCTAATGAGTCAATGCATGGCCTAGAGAAGCAGTTCATCTACCAGGGGACCCCTCCTGCCACCTGCGTCCACACCCCCTCACCCAACACGTCCCTGACTCAGCTGTGACTCACAAACACAGCAGCTCATGCATCATCCCGCTGGGCCCTCTGCCTCCCACCCCTCCTCATCCGAACTCACCTCTTTCAGTTCAGATTTTTTAATACTGGCTTTTCAGATTACTGAGCACATCTTTAAATAGGATGGATGGACAAACACACACAACACAAATATCAAAATATACCCATTTAAATTAAAAAAACTTCAATTCTCTGGGTTTTTTTAATTTATCCATAGCAATATTTCATATTATATGCATAAAATCTCCTAATTCTTTCCTGGGCATGTCTTATTTCCCCAATTCAATTGCAGGGTCCCATGGACAGAGACCATGTGTTACACGAGACTTATTTTGTACCCCAATAAAACCTAGGAAGGAAGCTGACATGTACAAGCTCTTCCTACGCAGGGTACACTATTCAGGGGAGAAGAAAGAAAAGGTCGTGAAGAGAAGAGCTGAGATGCTGAGGATGGACAGCTTTGCCTGTACTTGTCCAGCCTTATCTCCTGTCCACCTCCCCAGAAACAACTGCTTTCTCTCTCTGGAAGTCTGAGTGATTTATGCAGCCCCACGGAGGACAACTTGGTCCCATCTCCCCAGGTTATTTCAGTAGCCTGTTATTTTCTTTGCATTTTTTACCGTCTGTCTGTAGTTTCGTTGTCTTTAGAATTGCAGGTTTCCAATTTTAATAATTCTTTCCCATTGCTCCCCTCAACCTTCACCAAAATCATACATGCCCCCGGCTAATAAAAGCAATGTTTGTGGTCTCTGCAGCTGGTGCTATGGGGCTCTTTGGTGGTGAGAAGCCTGACACAGTGCTCAGTATAAAGAGAAAATAGCTACTGCAGCTACCCAATATTCTCCAAAATTGCCTGAGCAAGTTGAAACCCAAAGCTGGTGACTAAGAAATGATGTTTTAATCATCTTTTCCATCTGAATTGGGGCCCAAACAGGCAGAATAGACTTAGGCTTTCAGAGGCCAGGGACACCAGCAAGTCTAAAACTCAGCACCAGGGTTATGGCTTGTGTCTTCCAGCCCTTGGAAGTGCCAGCACTGGGCTGAACTGTCCTCGGGTTCCTCTCGGACAGGCCAAAGCCACTGTGAAGTCCTCGGGTCAGTCAATTCTCCTCCAGGCAATGATATCAACTCATCCCTCTGACCCTCACCCAGCCTCTTATTTCATTGCACACGTAGGATTGTTCTAGAATGCCATAAAGTAAACGGATACCAGTGGAATGATACTCTGAGAACAGGGCCTAGCTCCAGTCAGGTGGCTCTGGAGAAGACCAAGGAGATGCTGAAGAAGAAACCTTCTTCAGAGGTTGTCCATGGATATATAGACAGAGAACGGACCACTACTGGGAGTGGGGGGTTAGCGAGGCCAAACATCCTTGTCCTCCAGTGATTTGACCAAAGTGTGGGGTGAAAAGCTTTGACAAAGTAGTGACTGTGAGAGACCTAAGGTAAGATGGAGTCAGAGATTCAGAGCTGAACATTCAGAGAAGAAGAAAAAGTCAGTTTTTCCTTGAAGAGAAATGAACATTTAAGGAGTATACCAACTTTTCACACCTTGAGTTGGAATCAGCAATTTGGGCTGGGTTCAGCTAGGCAGTTCTTCTGTTGGTCTTGGATGGGCTCGCTTCTATGTTTGCATCAGCTGAGAGTTGACAGGCTGTCAGATAGGGCGACAGGGGTGACTAGGCCCTTTTCTCTCATCATGCAGCAGGACAGCCCAGGCTCGTTCACCTGGTAGTGACTGCAAGATTCCCAAGAGCAGCAACAGAGGACAAGCCCCATACACAAGAATTTTTCAAGTCTCTGCTTGTGTCACATTTGTTATTGGGCCACTGGCCAAATCAAATCACACCACCAATCCCAAGTTCAAGGGTGGAGAAACAGACCGTACCTCTTGATGAGAAGGGAAGAGTTTGTGGCCATTTTTTGCAATCTATACAAATTACAAAATCCAGAGAGATCTAGTTTTGGGATTTAGGCAAAATCTATCATTTAGGCAAGAGTGCGACTAGGAAGTGCTCCTTCCTGAGGAAGCAATACCTCTCATCTCTCAAAAGCATCTAGAGTGGCAGCCTGGTGAGGCCAAGAGATGCATGCTCCACATCTCCGGTGTCCTGAAATGGCAGGGCTGGGAGGGCAGAAACAAGTCATGGTAAATGAAGTTCAAAACCAGAGAAGATCAGGTGGAGTTTGTGGGGAAAACGGGCCACATTCGAAATACAATGAGACCATATATTCTTTTCCTCTTAAATTCTTTTTCATTCTCTATTTCATTCTTCTGCATTACTGCTTTCTCCTCTTTTTCTCTCTCTTTTCTTTCATGTGTATTTTAAGCATTTATCAAAAGGCACCTGATGACAACCTAATCAGAGTGCAGGGGGAGGGGGGGCTCTCTGTGTGGCACCAAGCTGTGAAAAGCCCAGGAGGGGGAGGACGAGGAGAGCCCTTAGTCTCCAAGACTCAGACATCACCGTGTACAGCAGAAAGAGAAAAAGCAGTTTATGTTCTCAGAATGGAAAAAGAAACACCACTTGGCTTTTCAAAAAGGTATACTCTCTTTTGTTTTGTTCCAGCCATTCAAGAACTGTCAATCAGAACAGCAAATTGAAGTCATTTCTGTGATTGTTCAGCAGGTCACTGTCACTGAGTTCACCAAAGGCCTTCTGATTTTAGTGTAACAACAGTCATTGACTAGTGACTGGGAGATGGTGGGGATAAAAACTATATTTTGCCTGATGTTATCTTCTGTTGTCAGTAGAAGGCCTTCTGCTAATAGTAGTAATAAATTCTTCTGTCCCTAAGCACAGGATGGGAGGTACAGAAAAGCATACTGTAGGCATAGGCATCTTCTGGAGATTAGCAGTCCAGAGCTAACTCCCTTTAAGAATTGGAAAAGGAATCCTAGTTCAGCTAGGGAAGGAGACTGGGCAGGATGAACTCTGTGGGTGAGAAATTCCGTGTGTGGCAATGTTCTCACATGTAGCTGTTTTCTTGATAAGTTTCTCAAACTAGTTAGATGGGCACTGAGGTTTGGAATCAGCCTCCCTTAAAGGCTGCCCCTCATCCCTTACCAAAGCAAAGACTGGCAGATCTCCCAAGATGGTGGCCAGAGAAAGTCCCAGGCCTGCTGGCTCGTGGATTTGTGTCTTGTCCCCGTAGTCTGCTTCTGATTTCTAGTCATCCAGAGAGATGTCTTCAAAACAAATATCAGACCACAAGGGACATCCTGGTTGGAAAATCACTCTGGGAAAGAGGAGAAAGAGCCCAACGTTAAACCACACGATGGTTAAAGAAACACAACACAACAGATGGGTCCCTGGGCAGAGCCCACAACCTGTTCAGAGCCTGGCACACCCTGATTCTTAGGACACTTCATTAGGCTTGTGATTACTGTTCCTAAGCCTCAATTAGTGCTGAAGCCAACCTATATCTGAGAGAACTTAGTTTCATGGCCACAGAATAACTTCCCACCCCTTTAGGAATAACTACAACATTTACAGCTCCACAATAGCTGGTGTGGATGGTGCACCATAAACCTGACATCAGCTGAAAGTTCCTTCCCAGCTCACGTAGTTCAGTAATCTCATTTTTCTATTTAAAGAACAACAAAAGACATTTAATTGTTTTGGAAGGCTTAATAATCATGTCAAAACCTTTTTCTGTTCATGTTCTCTCCCCACACTACATGATAAAGAAAATGTCCAGCCTGGAATCATGAAAAATAAAATGGCAGGAGAGGCAGGGTAATTGAGGCGGGAGCAGAAGCACTTGGAGAATGGCCTCCAGAGCACAGGGGGCCACCACAGCAGACAACCCACAGTGGACATCTGTGACTGTCCCCCAAGGTTTCTCTGAGGTCCAGGGCTCACATTTCAGGGCTGAGGGATGGGATGGGCTGCTCTTAGCATTTAGACAGAAAGCAATAAAGTCTATATATGGCCACTTACAAAAGAGACACTTAACTGGGCAGGGACCAAAAGATTTCCTTCACATATACAGGGCACAGTACACAGTTTCCACTCAATAAAATGTCAAAGAAGGAAAGACGATGCGAGCTGTCCTTCATAAACAGCAGTGGCTGCTAACCCTCTCTGGGATGTGGACTCTTTTGGGAATTGGATGCAAGTTACAACCCCTCACCCCAAAGGGGGTGGAGGATGGGAAGGAATGCACATAGGAGCATGCACAGAACATTCTGCACACAGACCTCGGAAGACCACCTAAAGGCCTGTGGTGGTGACGACGCCTAGAATCCCTGATGCTAAATGCATCTTAAAGCTGGTCATCAATGATCTAATACTCCACATCTACACACTTGCTACTTCTGCCTTTTTCCAACTCTCCAGGACCCCATGCTTATTTACTTCACCTAGTCCTGGACGGAGCGAGGTGGGGGAAAAAAAATAGCCTAACTTCCGCGTTCCCCAAAGCAGGGTGCCCCGGCTCCCTCCGCCCGGCCCCACCGGGCATCTGCGGGGTAGGCCCTCCTTGCTCACTGCCTCCCCAGCCCCCGCCAGCCCTGGGCAGCACCCTGCCTGCCGGCTCCCCGCTCAGCCCCGGGAAGGAGGAGCGCCAGGCGCGGCCTCACGGTTTTCTTGGCGGGCTCCTTCCTCCTCTTCTCCGAGTTGCTGTGGTAGGGCAGATCGCGGCTGCGGTAGGACGGGCCCCGGCTCAGCTCGCGCTCGCTGTAGGGCGGCAGCGCGTCGTCGGGCGCGTCCTCCTCGTCGGCCCGCGGCGCGCCCGCCTCGTAGGTGGCGGTGGGCGACCAGGCGTAGTAGGAGGCGCTGCGCGGGCCGAGCTGCGCGCTCCGCTTGGACGGCGTCTCCAG